GGTCCTCCCGCCTTGGCCCAAGCGACTCCCTGGGGCGGCCGAGCGAGTGGGGAGCTCCAGCAGGACAAGACGTCGAGCGCCAGCGTGCTTCAGCGTAATCGGGTATAAATAAGGCACACAACCTGAAATTTAGTTTCCAGAAGCATCTGCAGCACCTTCAGAACTTAAAACGCCCCACCATGCCAAGTCCCCGGTGCGTTTGTCGTCTCAAGGAGGAGTTTGGGAGAGGCGCGGTGGCCATTTTTCGCAGTGGGAGTAGGGAAGTGTGCCTCTCCTAAAACCCTCTTGATGCGAGTGCAGCAAAGTGATTTCAGATCTCTTCAGAGATGCTGGGCTGCTGCTGCTCTGGGAGCTCATTCATGAATTACCCTCCCCTGCGCAGGGAGCTGTCTGCCTGCTGCCGGCATTGCTTCTTGGAAGTGTTGGTCCTTGTGCTGGGGAGGTTTATAGATGTCTCTGAATATGGGGCTATGCAACACCAATTAAAATAATTCGCGGTGATTTTTTTTTTTTGTCTGATCCAACTGTTCTTGCCAAACTTGACACTCTTCCTTAAACAAATCAAAACCCTGACAAAACCAAATCCTCTTAATTATAACCTCGGTACTTCTGATACTTAGCTGCAATCTCCAGTCTCTGTTGCAACGAAGAAGATAGCAGGTGCTTAAGAGATCAGTGTGCATTTGATCTAGGCCTCTTTGTGACTTTGATAGTAGCGTGCCCTTGGAAAGGGCATTTGTGTGCCTTGTGGCTCTTCTGTACGTGTCTGGAAGAAACCGTTTGGTGGGCAGAGAACAGGTCCAGGGGTCAGCCATAGCACTGCTGCTGTTGTGTAGAGACAGAACCTTCTCAGGTACCTCTTTGGGTTTGTTTATAGCACACTTGCCTATAAACACTAGTGCTTCTAGTCAGAGGGAGAGTAGTTCACTTAAACGGTTCATTTTAGGAGCAGCGCTGCTGTTTTCCAGAGTGTGATTAGTTGTATTTGTTTCCCAACATAGTGCTTTGAGCTGTAAGTTGACACTAACTTTTGAATGCTAACAACTAATACTCTTCTTAAATAAATCCTCCTCAGCTTCTGCAGGGGTCTTGCCATGAGGTTTTTCTGTGAGTTTCTATCTCGGCAGTTATTGCTCAGCTGGAACTGGGCTGCTCTCAGTATTTCTGTGTATCTGGAGGGTTGTATGGTGGATATCAAAGTGAGACTTTAAAATGTGTGTCAGTATAATGTCTCAAGGTTTATACAGAGATAATTCAACAGATGGTCCTATTTAATATCTTGTTGCTCAGTTGCTGTTACCTAGAATATGAAAGTCTATTTCCATAAAATACTGTGACTTTCTTATGATTCCGGGTTTGGAAGAAAGTAACAAAAGCATTAGCTTCAGTTTAGAGACTTTGCCTTATTAGTAAACTGCAAATTTATTCCACTAGTGGAAAAGGCAGTTCACTTGTGCCTGAAACTGTGAGCATTAATCTCACAAAACCGTAGTTGTGGGCTTCGTAGTCTCGCAGATAAGGACTGCACAAAGTGTGGTAATGCCATCAGACCTCGGTCCTTGGAGTCAGATTCTTGATCTGCCCAACTAGTAGCTTGATAAGACTTTTTCAAAACCAACCTTTTCCTTAGCCAGTTCTGTTCATGGTTTGTTTGGTTTTGTTTTTAACCAGACTGCAGCATGATAACAGCTGTCAGCTTTTAACTGTTAAGAAATTATATTTCTTTGAGTGTTGTGGAGAAAGAAAAATTGCAACTAAGAAAGGTTTCTGGTAAGTTTGAATAAAAAATGTCTAAAAAGTGCATACCCTGTGTACGTTTCCTGATACTCTAGAGAACTAAAAATCACATGAACAAGAGAGGAATGGTGGCACAGAATTGAATGGGCGCTGATAAGATAGGTGCTCTGCTTTCTTTAGAGGCACCCACCGTAGCACTGGATCCTCTTTGGGTGTGGGTGTGTATGAGCTGCTCTGGACTGAGGAAGGGAACGGTAATACCAGGAGTCCCTGGTGGGTTGGATTGCCCGTAGCTATTTTCAGTACAGGAATATTGACAGGATTCAGATTTTATTTGAAGAAAGGCAGTGAATGTAGCGCCAGGCTCTCAAGGAGTGTCAGATGTGTATCATTACTCTCAAGGCCAAAGAGTGCCAGAAGAAGACAAAGTGTGTGGAAGGGCTGCACTGGAAAGAAAATTATATGATTTCTGGGCTGGGTGTTGATATTCTCTACTTAACATGCTTTATTATGGTTAGATAATGTATATTTGCTCTTTCCGGCTGTTGAAATGGTGGCTGTGTAGGAATGATCTAACTAGGTACACAGGTTGTGATTATGAGTAGCAGATGGGGGCTGAGAGGTATTTGTGCCCTGCCTTCCAAGTACTTTCTCCAGTCTGCTAGTGTCACTTTTGATTTTTACAATCAAGGAGTTCAATCAAGATAAAATGGTTTTAGAGATGTTGGGTTTTTTCTCAATCTTCTCATTCGGTGGCAATGTGCTGTAGCTCCTGGTAGCTGATTCTTTAAATGAGGTTGCTAGTTTTACCTTTGTGTTGATTTCTGATAAAAGTGATCCAAATGCAGTCTTCAAATTCACTTGTCTACCTACTGAGTAAATTCCCGTGTCCTGTCTGAGTCTGGAAAATCAGTCTCTCCTCAGTCATGAAATGCCTATGCAGTTTTGTGCTTAAGCTTGTTTTGTGCCCGTGATCTTTTCATACTTCTACATGGAAAGGGAGGTCTTAGTCTGAACCCTTCTTAACACAGTCCTTATTGGGTTAAGTTTTGACCTTCTTCCTTCACTACCTCTTCTGTGCCCTAACAGACCCCATATCAGCTAGGGGAAGCTGTCAGCAATATGGGGAGACCTGGGCACATCAAGAACCAAATGGGGCCTCAGCCCATTCCCAGGCCTACCACCAGAAGGATGCAGTTCCATCAACTAATTGCCCTAGCGCGAAATATGACAGGACACACTATCTGTGGCCTCCGCTAATGGCAGAGGCTACAGGGAAACCCATCCTTTGCTGCGGCTGCTACGCTGAAGGACGGTCCTCAGGTAGGTGGGTTGTAGCTGTTGACCTGTAAGTTAGGTGAGTCTCTGAAGCATTTTTGAAACTTAACGTGTCTGTCTATACTGCGGTCACAAATCCATAGGTGGGGAGAGGTTTGTGACGGGGTAGCTTGGAATGTGTTCCTGCCATCAGCTTGTCAACTGTCTTACCTGGACTTTTATGTCTGGATACTTAGATCTTCCAGATGCTGAGCACTAGCAGATGGTTTAAACATTTTAGCCTCCAGAAGGCTGTTGGAACTTGACCTTATTAACAAACACTGAGATTCTTCTGTTTGTTATAAGTGCTTCAGTCAGAAGACAGAGCTCTGTGAACTAGTGATAAAGGATGGCTGTGAAGCTGTGCTTGCTTACCTGGGAGCCTGAGTTGAAATAATAGATGGGTTTTGCATAGGAGAAGCTGGGGGGAGGGCTATGAAACTGAATCTTGATTTAATTGTTCTCAGAAGATATTTTGAGAATTGTCCTGTTTTAGACTACAATCTGTATCTTGCAATGATCTTAAAATTTAGTCAAAACGTCACTAAGTTGCTCTTCTTGAAGAAAGCTGCAAGACCTTCCCACCTGGGGTTAGTTTTCCTTCTTTTTCCTTTTTGTTTCTTCCCCCCCTTTTTTTTTCCTTTTCCAATCTTAGAAAGGTGAATAAGGTCTGACATTTTCCCAGGAAGAGGTTTGAAACGGAGGTTTTACATTTCAGCTTGTGTTTCTTGTAAAGCATGTCAGCCATACCAGGTGGAGATGATGCATGTGGACTTGAATACAAATGCCTTCTTTTTCTTTCTCGTAGTTACAGAAACACTGAAGTAGCAAGTAGGCCAATTCATTTAAAGTGTAATCATTCTGCTTTCCTGTTTGTGGAAGAGATGCCCCATAATCAAGGCTTAATTTTGTTGGCAACAGATAGTGAAATATTGCTCACTTCTTGCATGGGGGAGATGAAAGTGTAAAAATCTTACTGGCAATGGGGAGAATGATTAATGCCTCTGACTTTCTATAGTAATGTTCCATTATAAAAGGGTGATATTAAAAAGGAGATGTAAATTCTTTCTTAAGGGGCTTATATTCAGGTTTTCTACCTCTAGTTTCCAGCAAATGATATGAAATGGTTCATGGAAGCACATCTAAGCAGTGCAGCAAGCCCAGTAACGAGGGAGAAGACTAAAGGGTTTGACTTGCTTAGATAAGAAATAGTGGACTTAGCATGTTGTCTGTGTCTTTATTCCTTCTAAGGCTACTGTTGTTCTTACCTGCGCTTGGTTAAAATATCCCTGAGCCCAGATGTAACCATTTTCCATTAATAATACTAACAGGATGGCTATCTAGGGCCTCTCAGAAACCTCAGGTTGTGGTAGTGAGAGAATCCATTATTTTCACACATTTTGTTGCAAAGATGGGAGAACAATTCCTGTTTTCCCATCTTTGTGTACATATACATAAAATACATATGTACAAAGATATATGTTGTATATATCATATATAAAATATGTGGTTTTAATATATTTTTAATAATTGTTTTTAACAATTCCTTGAAAGCACCAGGTTGCATTTTATATTTTAAATGGAAAGCTTTTGTGATGTGATCACTAAATAAAAGGCCTTCTGCAGCATAATTGCTTGTTTTTCTGCCTGTTGAAGTTGTATGTTCACTGGAAAACATGCAAAAACCCAGTAGCAATGCAGTCTTTACGGGTAGCTTTGTTGGTTAATTTGTAGGTCTTGGAGAATGCAGTCTCTAGCTAGATTCTCTTTGAAGGCACTGGTATGTCATGTCATACATGATTTAATAAATAATCTGACCAAACTGGTGCATTCTGATAGGAAAAATGTTCATATGTTCAAGTTACTGCATCTTGTCTTTGTTTCAAAAAAAAAAAAAAAGGCACTGCGGGTAAAGGGCACCACCTCCATGTGTTCCATAGGGATGACAGCTGGGGCAAGATCTTTTTGCGGGATTTGCAAGCTTTTAGCCATTGTTGGGTGAAATCTTACTTTGGTGTCAGAAGAAGCATCTCTGGTTTATGATCTGGTGTTAAATTTATGAACTCTCCAGTTTATTGGAATAGCTTAAGGAATGTTTGAGCCTAGGTGCCTCTACTTTCACAATTTTAAAAAGAACAGTTAATTCAGAAGACTGCAAATGTCATCAAAGACAAACATATTTCACTGAGGTTTTTTAGACACTCCAGATGTGATCTCCTATGAAAAATATTCTTTTTGTTGCATCGGTTAGTCGCTTCTGCTAATACGAACAAGCCAGTCCATCTGCCGTGGTGGTTTAGAACCACTCAGATGTTAGTACTTTTTTTATTAGAACTTATTCTGTGTTAACACAACAAAGCATAATTTGATCCTTCTGGAATTACTGGTCTTGTTTAGAGAGTGATGTTGCGGTGCAAGTGTGAAGTTTCTTGGGAGGACTGCCCAGCGTGCTGAGCCTGGAGAGGAATGGGTGTGCTTTGGCAGGTACGACGGCACCTGATCTCTCTCCCTCTCCTCTGCAGGGCCAAGGTATGCAGGTGAACTCTGAGCTGTGTGCGGAGAAAGATCATCTGCCTCTCCCTTGCTGTGACCTAGGTCAAGAAATTGTTTTTTAACTTTAGTGTTTGATCGCTATTGTAGGAAAAGGTCTTCCGGCAGACTGCTGGCAAGCATCTAATTTGCAAGTTTGAAGTGCCCTGTCGAGCTGGTACGATGACAAAGTCTTACCAGCCTGCCTGCCTGCGGTCCCTTTGTGTTCTTGGGCCATCACAGCATGCAGCAGGACTACTGTTAATCTCACTGCTGAGTCAAAAATACTCAGTGATGAACGGAATGTTATGTTTCAGATGGAAACATGTACTACTTCTCTCTTTGCTTCTGAAACTTCTTTTGTTTCCAAAATCCTCAAGCTCTCTCATGAAGGCAGCAGAGTGCAGAAGGAGGAATGCTATGCAGACTCTACTGATCATTTAATTTAAAATCTACAGATGGATCTGTTTGGTTTTCAAACGGTCGTCATCTGTGTAATGCAAAGTATTTGATTACCTCTGATAAAGTAAACTATTATAAAAGGCTTCGAACCCTAAGCATTAGTTAATGCTAATATTAAAACCTGAGCATTTACTTGACATTGATACGATTTGGCCAGGGCAGGGGGGGAGGAGCAAGGAACAGAAGTTACGTATTTTTCTAGCTATTTTTCTTAAGGCTTAGTGAAGAGAAGGAGAAATCATAAGCTATATTCAGCCCCTTAGCTATCATGTGCTTCCGTATCTGGAACATTTGATGCATAAACCTGCTGTGGCTGTCCCAGGCCTTGCTGCTGAAGAGCAGCGCTCTGCCTTCCGCCCTCTTTAGGGAGCCGGGACTGGGACGGAGCCGGGCCGGGGGAAGCTGGAGTCTCGCTCTGCTGACAGCTCCCAGGTGGTTGCCTCGATGTTGTGACCAGGGATAAGCCGGGTTGGTCAAGTGAACCCTGCAGCTAATCTGTCGAGTAACAGGTAGAGGTAGGAGTTCCACCCCCTTTTTATCCCTAGATTTGATTTTCACAAGAGTCTCTTTTCTTACACCCTGTCTCAAGAATATGGATGCCCATCATCAAAAAAGACTAAGCGTGTGGCAAGGTCTGGACACTGTGCGGGAGTGCCTTAGTTAAGAGATTTAATACTTCTGAAGTCCTATTGAGAGGTATGCCCCATTCCCCAAGAAACCTTTCAAAAGTGAAAGTGTAGTTAAAAAAACCCCAAACAAACAAAAAAACCCACCAACTGAATCCCAGAAGTCCAAAGCAAAAAATGGATGAACAAAACCTTACCTCCAAAATGTACTCTTGGGCAGTAGAAAATCTCTATTTTCATTGCTTGTTCTAGCACTTACTGTGTTGCATTAGTCAATCAGACATTGTGTGTCTTTATTGCAATGTGCCTTCATGTTTAAGCTTCATTTCAACTGGATGCATATAATTTATTTGGACTTCCTTTTTAAAGTAACAATAAAACTGCAAATTTAGGTAGCTTAGGGGAGTTTAATTTTGCATTATGTCATGTCAATATGTGCATAGCATCTTATGGAAATGCTAAGTATATAGAACAATTTTCATCAAATTTTAACTTCAAATAAATTTGGTAATTCTCATTTTCTGTTTTAAACTCCATTTATGAAGCCTATTCTATTCATGCTAATATAGATAGTACTTTGGGACAGGGCCATGTGTATATGACTTAAGTATTAGAAGGGGCTGAGGTTCAATGTCATAAGTAACCAAACACCAACTTTCTTGTTTGTGGTAAAACCATCCTGAAACTATTCTCTGAAAATGTCAAATATCACTGTAACTGTCTACCTTTAAACCACATTCAACAAGGTACTGTTTTCTGAAATGCATGTTGGTTTTTCTGTTGTAGTTTAATTTTTTTTTTTCTTCCATATTCTGAAATTTTACTTGCTTATGTAGCTTAGAATGGGTTCTAGTCTGAGTTCTCTGCTTAAATGCAGAAACTTTGCCATATGTTTTTGCCGAGGAGAGTCTGCAAACATTCAAGACAAATCAGTGTAAGACCTAGAGAAATCCAGTCATCTTAATGTTTATAAAGGCTTTTTCCTTGCTGGCGGATGCTCTAGTGTTGATTGGAAGATTCTAAATAATGACTTACTTTTGAAAACTTGTTGTAGCATCCAGATATCCGAAACCACTGGTACCGCTTGAGAAGCCAGCGAAGGAGGTAGTATCACCAGAGACGACCAGTACTTTTGGTACAGTAAAAAAAAGTGTGTTTACTAAGATGTGGCATTGCATATGAGGCCAGCAGGCTGCTGGTTGGACAGACTTTCTGCTTGCGTGTTTTGATGCAGTTGGCATGCATTGCTACAAGAAATAAAAGTACACAATTTTTATTTATTTATATTAATATAAAGCCTTCGTGCTCAAGAATTTCAGTGATCCCCATAGTACTTCACAGATTTACTCTTAATGTGACTGAAGAAGTGTTTCAAGTCCGGATCTGGTG